TGGGAGTTTGTGGTAATCCTTAAAAACACCTGTCGTTGCTCAAAGATAATAAGCGCAGGGGTGAAGACGGACGTGTTGAAATGCAGTGGGTGACGGAAAAGATACAACTCAGGGTGGAAAACATTTCTCAAGATGTTTGAGTTGTTTTTTTTTTGTTTTTTTTTTTAAATGCTTGAGGATGTCCAATGGCTTTGATATCATCCCCGCCCGACTGTGAGTGCACACAGATTAACAACGAGAACAATTCATTCATTACCGAGGCGATCGCACGGCTAATTCATTATTCACCGATGGAGATATCACATTTTTATTAGCTAAGGGGGAGAAGAAGGATGTGAATTCAAACGGGAAACATAATGCAATCGCAGGACTGATGGGACACGTAGTTGTTTTTAAACAACTAAACCCTGCGCCTTCGAAGAACGTTCAATATGCATGATGGGCGCAGATGAACTGACTGTCTGTTGGCCGCCGAGCTCGCTCTCTGAATATCAGCTCTTCGTTTGATTCAGGCTCTCGTCTCGTTGTGTCGGAGCCGGAGTGGTTTCTCGTTAGGCTTCTGGTGTGTCTGTTACAGCAACAGTTCCTTCCTCTCCGCTCTGCTCGTTTCTCACTCCAGACTCGTTAAGACTACAGTACAAAACGCACCAGGCTCGATTCCCCCTCATTTTCCGGGGGAGGCGGGGGGGAAAGGCATTTCTCTCTCTCTCTTATCTTGTTCATCGTCAGATCTTGCTTCCCTCGCCGCCACTTTGTCTCGGAGAGGCTTTTTTCTCGGCGAGGTTTGGGTCATGACTCATTGTTGCACCTTGGCAGGTGCAAGGTTGAAAGCACTTCCTTGTTTCCCTCTCTGTTCCCCCTTCTTTTCCTCACTCTGCCAATTTTCCCTCCATAATCCCCGTTTCTTGTCCTGCATCGTCAACCGTTAGCCATTCCTCTTATTTGTGGAATGAGTGAACGAAAGAAATCTCTCCTGTTGCTGTAAAACATCGTGTGGGTTCATGTTTGACGCACGTCGAGGAGCAAAAAGGAGAGAGCTAAACCAGATCAAACCCGAGAAAAGTGGCTGCTTGTGTTTGTCCTTGTGTGTGATTCACCATCTGTGATAAAGCCCTCTTCAGTAACCGAAAGGATGATTGACAAGATAAATACGTATATATGGCTGAAGGAGAAAAGAGGGGTAGGCGGAGGAGAGACCCTCCGGTCCTGTGCAATTTTTGGCTTCCTTAGATTTGTCAGAGTTTTGATTATTCCTTTAGGGTACGGGAGAGAGGGAAGGAAAGAAGAAAAACAAGAAGTGACCAAATTAGACTGATTTAAAATTAGAGAAAGGATAAAAATAGAACGAGGAGACGACACGAGACGGGAGGGGGAGCGAGATAAACAACGTGAAACCAGATCCGGGCTGGAAATGTTCAGATCTTCAAGCTTATTTTAATGTCAGACAAGGATGAACCGAGTCCACGCAAAAAAGTTGTCATATCATTTGAAAACTAGGATCAGGCTAACCAACTGGGTAGCTGTGCTGAGACTTTGATGAGAGGGTTCGAGGGGAAAAAAAATAACTGCATAAAATAACTGTAAAAATCAAAAGTCATAATTTCAGTCAGGTTTTATTAAAAAATTTTGCTTCTGGCAACAGCAAATGTTACCTCATGCACACGTGATTACATGGTGATTAAATAATTAGACACTCATTACAGACCAAGCAGTTCTTTATAATATTTCTGATTACAGTGAAGATGAAATAACAATACATTTGAGATTAATTGTGCAGATTTCCACATGGGAGTGCGTTGGTTTCCCTCAAGAAATTCAATTAATTTAATTCTATTTAATCAGGCTTATTTGTGTCCAGTATTGACAAAAAATTGGTGATCTGAAACATGCAAGTGTGACAAGAAGCCAAAGCAGAAAAAAAATTGCAAGAAGGAAATACTTCTTTACAATACCTTTGTTCATTATCTCCAAATTTGCTCACTGAAGGCAAGCAAGCAGCAGTAACTGTCCAATGAAAACACATATATACTGAATGATTTGTGCATCTCAAAGAATTAGTAATACTTGTTAAGTATTTGTAATAACTGATCACTGCTGCATGAAGTTAAGGTGACTCAAAGAGTAGTCGTAGTTTGGTTTTGGGGTTTTCTTTAGAGACCAGAATAGGGGAATACCTTTAGAATGAGGTCAATGTAACTAAGCAACAGCTGGCCTGGTTGTTCTACTTTCATTTCCTCGTACTATTCATTAAAGTTTAACAGGATTATGAAAGTCTAACCTGCTTAAAATGTATTAAAAAAAAGAGCGCTGCTGCTGCTTCTGCTTCTTCTTCTTCTCCTCCTCATGTTCGCCTAATGACAGACTGACAGCTTGAGTGTCTCGCTCTCTGCTTTCACAAGATGAAGTCGTGCTTTCTGGTCCACAGTTCGGTTTAGGACTAAAGATTGCATCCAAAATTGTTGACTGCGAGTTTCTTTTTGGAGGGTTCTGTTGATGAAATACCTGAACTCAGACATGTTGCATCTTTAACGGGGGGGAAAATGTGATGAATGGACTAAATTTATGCAGCACTTTCAAGTCAAATCAACCACTTAAAGGTTCTTAAAGCCATTCACCCAATCGCACTCGCAAACACCAATATATGCATGAGGTCAAGCGCCCGGCCAAAGGACACAACAACACGTAAAGCAACTTTGCGATGCACAAACTCTAAGCACCGAGCCAAACGTTTGCACAAAGAAACGGTGATCACAACCTCTGATAATTCCCTAACGGCTCCTGTTATCTTGCTCTTTGCTGCTCGGGATTGTTTAGGGATGACACGTTTGTGAAACAATGTTTCCCGTTATGCATTTAAAATGCAGATTCCCCGCCTTACGACAAAAGCGTGAACGAGGCAGCAACTGTAAATGTACAAATAATTTCAGACATTGAAGGTAAATACTGGTGGAATGCAACACTCAAGTTACTCAGAATTAAAAACAGAGTCAATTTAATCCTCCACGAGGACAAAGATAATGTTCACGTGAAACCAGATTATAGAGCTTTTGAACCCAAATGACAGCTCTTAAAAAAAATAATCTGGTGTTTGTTTCAAGCTCTCATCTTTTAATAGCTATTAATAGACATCAGAGCTGGTGGAGAGCAGAGCTGAGGGTTCATTTAAATGCTTAATGATACGTAAGGAAAGCAACAAAAACTGAAATGTAACAAAAACAAACACGGTTTGACTGGGATTTAGGAGCTGATCTGGTTTTGGTTTAAAAAAAAAAAAAAAACCCTTGCAGGAGAGAACTCTAATTAAATTTACACAGCTTCTGCAAAGTTATGGTGTCCTGACGCTGGCTACCTAAAACATGACATTGCTTGTAATAAGCGCAAATCTGTGCATCACGTACGTTTCATTTGCACTCCGAGCAGAACACAGTTTCACTTTTAAACATTTTCTGTGGCTTTAAATAGACACTGCTACGCAATGGTAGCCATATTCAAATTAGACAAACGCAGCTATGATCCCTTACAGCAAAGGTCGGCAGCATTGCGAGAAAGGCTCTACTCTGATTATTAAGTGTCCTTGTGTCTGAACACTGCAGATGTTCACATCCCCGGACATCTGCTCACCAAAGCAGCTGGTCGTCTGTTTTCTCTTTGCGTCTGTTTTCTCTTTGCTAATATGTGTGCCTGTTTTAAATTTTTGTAATTCTTGTGTGTCTACAGCATCCAGACTGCAGGGTTTTTTTTTTAGTTTTTTTTTTTTTAGTTTTCTTTGCTTCTGTTCTTGAGGATGCCAAATAAAATGTCTTTATGCTTTAGTGTCCTCCCTGGCTCTTAATTCGAAGCTTGCAGGTACAATGAAGTTATTCAGATCAGTGCCGCTCCATTTGGTGCCGTGTGGAAGAGTCCCTCTGCACAGCCAGCCGACGTTTGTTAGACGCGTAACGCGGCGGGAGCCCCTTTTCATCTACAGTATTGCTAATATTCCTCACATTGCTACGAAGAATGATGCGAATGTGTCGTATCTAACATCCCATTTCTTCTCTGCTTTATGTTATCTGTTTTAAGAGGTTCATGCCTGCAAAACATGCTGTGCCTTTTGGATGTAAAAAAAAAAAGAAGGTAGGAGTCAGTTTGGCCTGCAACAATGCTACAGTATCTACAGTTTAAATATCCAGGAAGTCCCATTGAGATTAGAAATTTATTTCACATGGGAGACTTGACCCAGATCACAGCCATACAAATCAGAAGTAAATTAAATAGATATGTAATAAACAAAATGGAACACATTTACATCGCACTCCCCCTTTAAAGCACCTGAAATGTTCACGGATGTGACTGTGGCATGCAGCTGAGCATCTTTTAGTGAAGTTTGGATAAAGAGAAAAAAATTGACTGGACAGCTTCAAAGAAAATATAATGGATAAAACGTTCCAGGCTGGCCATCCATCATATGAATTCAACCATTATCAACGGAATGATGCTTTTATCTTATTCTGCAGAAACTTTTCTCTCCTCTTGTCAGTTTTCGTCTTCTGCGTGCCGGTTGTGCTGAAGTTGGCTGATTTATGGCTTTTGATTAAGCAGAAAGGTGGAGAGAAATGGTCTTTTTCTGCCGATAGCTGGGCACTGACTTCAGGGGCACGACTCAACCAGGCCTTGGTTCATGTTTGCTGAGTGAACGCGTTTGAAGATGCTGCAAGTATCTGTTTGCCTTGCTGTAGACTGCAAAAGAAAAAAAAAAATGCCTGGATCTGCTCTAAAAATAGCATTTTTATTTCAAATGAATGTATTCATTTGTTTCCATGTTTTGTCCTGGTTTTAGCAAAGACATTTTCAAGCATTGGGATTGCACGATTTTGCAGCATTAAACTGAACAGCAAAAGACTTTTCCAGTGAATTTATCATTGGTCATGCTGAATGATTAGCATCATTTAAAAAAAAAAAATTAATAATTAAGCACCACAAATTAACTCAACGACCTCCCGATGTGTGTCTGTCTGCAGGTAAAGGATGACTGCAGCAGCAGGTGTACTGACAGGCTTGGCCAAGCTCAAGCGCCAGGACTCGGCCCGCTCTCAGCATCGGCCCGTGCCACCCGCATCGCAAGGCTTGGCTAACCCCGGCTCCGAGGGCGCGCCCAGGTGATGTTTCTTCAGGAATTTAAAACACAAACTTGTTTTCAGCCACACAACTTTTTTTTTTTTGTTATTGAGTTAAAGAAGTTTTTTTTATTTATTTATTATTTATTTATTTTTGACAAATGAGGGAGCGTCCGTTAACGGTTTGATAAGCTTTCTTTTCGGTAAACTTCAAGTTTGGAACTTTATAAAACTCAAACACATATAAGCTGCTTTAGATTTCTGACTGAAAAAGCCATCGAGCTCTAAACAAAATCCTATAAATATGACCCAGGAATGTTGTCCAAAACCAATAAAAGAGTAGAAGATAGTACGGTTGCTTTGAACCAATAAATAAATCAATATTTTATGCCTCTGTTTCTCTTAGAAAGCGGAAGCGACGCACAGACGTTGTGGTGGTCCGAGGAAGGCTTCGACTCTACTCGGCTTCTGGCTTTTTTCTCTTCCTGGGACTTATCATCTTGGCAGTAGGGATTGGTATGGCGACCCTCGGTTATTGGCCGCACAACAAAGCCGTACCAACAGGAGGAGGAAACGAAGTGAAGATGGGGAAAGGTGTGACCAACGCAAGCCATGATGTTCAAGGTAACATTAGATCTGAGTGGGCTCACAAAGCTGCTCCAAGCCGGGTTTTTTTTTTGTTTGTTTTTTGTTTTTTCACTTTGTTACTCATTTTCTCTGCGCTCTGATTTTAGACTCGCCTTCAAAGCAGACGGGCGGCGCTGTGATGCGGTTTCTGGAACAACATCTTCACTCCGAGAGGATGAAGATGCTCGGGCCCTTCACCATGGGCATAGGGATTTTTATCTTCATCTGCGCTAATGCAATACTTCATGAAAATAGAGACAGGGAGACGAAGGTAGGGATGAAATTTTCTCGGATCATACATCAAATTTCCATTTGGATCAGATAAGTTCAATAACGCTTGCAAGTGGATTTTACTTTGCGGATAAGTAATGATTTAAATTATTCCTTGCCAGTCCCATATTCTCATTTCTCTTACTTCCCTCTCTTTATAAAGTGAAAAGCATGCACTCTGTTCTCAGCGTGTACAGCACCCCCCACTAACACGCAGATTTGATTTCTTTGGACCTGCTTTCACTTTTATGTCTGCAATTTGCTTTTGATGACATTTTCTCAGTTCATCTGGTCTTTTCTTCCCCTCCTTGATTTGATCAAACCCCTCCTCTCAGCATCTCCCTTTCCTAGTTACCTAAATGTGCTGAGTTATCGATTGTAATTGAGGCCTCGTACACATGTAGCCGAGTCTTTATATAAACGAGTATCCGTCTCTGCATCGTTTGAAAAAGATAATATCATACACATGGGGTTACAAAAGCGTTCATCCACACAAACCCGCTGAATTACGCCACTGAGCGTTGTTTTAAACATGTCAAACCCATAGGGGGCAGTGTAGCGTAAAGCTGCAACGTATGTCAACCAATCACAATCCTTCAAAAACAACCACGACTTCCTGTTAGGAACAAATTGGGGTCATTTGGGTGGGCAGGCAGAGAGGTTGAACTACTTTTAAACACCTTTTCAGAATAAAAAGAGAATAAAACACAAGATAATGTTAATTGGGAATCAGGTGAAAGCATGTGGACGTTGAGCTAAATTGTGCATCTGCTGGAAAACAGCCGTCCTCCAAGTGATCTTCCTCCTTTGCAGCTCAACATATTGGAACATTTGGGCTCGTAAAAAACAAAGAAGGTAAAAAAAAAAAAAAAAAATCAGCACCTCTCTGATAGCAATCATCTTTCTTCCACTGCATGCCTAAACAATAACAATAGTCACAAGCGTGACGTTAGCAGCACATTTCCGTTGTACACACGCAAACGCTAATGAAGATAATTCTCAAATCTCCATGTCGGTCAGAGTTTTTAATGTTCACAGGCCAAATCACGTGAAAATCTGTTCGGTTTCTCAGAGATCCAGCTATTATGTGGACGAGGCCTGAATGTGGCAAGGAACTACAGGTGATTCTGGCTAACCCAGCTGTCCTCTGCATTAGATAATCCACATGAGGGACATGTACTCCACGGTCATCGACATCCACCGCCTCCGGCAGAGGGAACAGAGACAGTACCACCACCACCACCACCGCAGCAGCAGCAGCAGCGTGTGCGTACGAGACGTGGGTGACCTTCGCAGTTTTGGAGCCGACACGGCAGCGCGCCTGGCCAGCAACTCCCTCCTGGGCTTCTCGTCTCGTTCTGGAAGCAGAGTTGGGTCCACGGAGGAGGAGGAGGTGCTGCTTGGGGATGAAGAGTTCCACAGACACAGAGAGCAGGCCAGGTTGGATTGTAGCTTTGCGGGACTGCTGGCGCCTTTGTACAAGGATGGGCCCTTTTATGGCGCCGGGCTTGGGTTGTCGCAGTCCGACTCAATGCGACACCAGTGGTCGGTGGACGGAGATGGGGAGAAAGGAGGACACCATGCAGGGTCTATTGTCTCCTCCTCCATCTCCGCCTTTACTCTCCCTGTTATTAAGCTAAACAACTGCGTAATTGATGAACCAGAAATGGAGGCAATTACCGAGGAGGACAGAGGAGGCGAGAGGCGGGAGGGAGAGAGGCCAGCGCCTCTGAGCTCCATGGAGTCTCTGGTGGTGCCAGTAGCATCTGTCGCCAAGGCCTCCAAGCCGCCGGGCTTGCAACGCAGCAACTCGGCGTCCTCTTCCTCCCGCTGCTCTTCCTTCTCCTCGTGCAGCCTCTCCCCGGCTCCCTCCTCTACCTCAGGCTGCTGGCTCTCGCCGGGAGCGGCGAGGAGTGACTTTGGCTCCAACTCCTCTCTGCACATGCTGAACAGCCACAGCCACTCCAAATCCCTGGACCTGGAGCGCGGGCCCAGCGTGCTGAGCGTGCGCTCGGAACAGCGGAAGCACCCCAGCTGGCCGCGGCTCGACCGCAGCAACAGCAGCCGCAGTCACAGCGGGAACAGGGGCAGCAGCAAGGGATACACGCGCCTGGAGGACAGGGAAGAGCAAGCGGAGCGGCTCTTGGACGAGTCGGCGTCCCCGACAGACAGACGCGACTACAGCAAGCGAGAGAAGCTGCTCATGATATCCAGGTCGCATAATAATCTGAGCTTCGAGAAGGATGAGTTTAATAGCAGCACGTTGAAGAGAGGAAGCTCGGAAACTCGATTCTGAAGGCGCGCGAAGGAAGCGGCAACACCGACTCTCTCCTGGTCTGTAAAATTGTTCTTCACCCTGTCTTAGTTGATGACGACGAGACCAAGTTGTGCTTTTAAGACAAGTTTTTTTTTTCTTTTAACAAGGAGCAATAGCACCAGTAAGTAACATTAGAACCTGCACAGCAAAAAGGTTTTGCACTGTCTGACTCCACATGCCTGCTTTACGACAGTAGAGGTGCTGTTTTACAGCTGACTCTTGCATGTGGAAGGCGGCGCTCCCTGCGGAGGTCAATGCAACCACTTCAAATTACATGAATATGCTCTGGTGTTTAACAAACTGGACCAGGCATCAGACAGCGATGTTAAATGAAGACAGTGGCCTGCAAATAAATACGACAAAGAGGCCCTCATTGCCCTGTGGCCATGTAATATTGACCTTTCCCAGGAACTTCAGTACAAAGATGGCTGCAAATTTGGTATCTGTGGCTGCGGCTCTGCTGCGGGCATTTTTCAGCTAACTGCTAGGTTAGATTTTACTCAGGATTAGTCATCTCTACATATGGCCACAAACCCACTTAGAGTGCGGAAAATCTCTTGTTTTATTAGTAACGATTGTGTCACTGATTGAGGAATATTTTCAGAAACATTTTGGAATAACTCCTGAACGAAATGAACATCTCTCAAACCAGATCTTTTCTTACTTACTGTTTAGTTCCTAAAACCAAATGTGCAGATAATTTGGCTATGGTTTAATAATCATATCTGAACCCAATCTCGTCTACGAAGAATACAAAAATTGAAAGGCACATTTCTGCTTCAACTGTATTTCCAGCTGTATCTGGAATGGAAAAGACGGCCAGGACTAAAGAGAAATGATGCGGGACTGAAGACTCCTCAGTGTTTCAGTCCCTGATTCGTTTTTGTTCTTTTTTTTTTTTTTTTTTTGCTGGTCGTGTTTTCATAAATCACCATTTGAAGCATTTTTACACACATTAGTTTCCAAAGATTGCCACATGTAAATAGCTTTGTCCCATCACAAGATGCCGTCACGCATTTTCTTCCATTAAACTGCAAACAAATGGAACATAATTCACAAAGCAGCTGAAACTGTCCTTGGAAACAGGAAGTAGACCAATACAGCTGCATCTCCTGTTAACGTTTTTATTTATTTCACCTGTACTTATTTAATTCTTGTCAATTGCAAAGCAATTGAACACAAAATTAAGTTTATTGGAAAACTAGAGTATACAACAAATCAAATATCCAAAACATTGCGACAACATCAGCAACAGACATGGAAAAAAAAAAAAAACTACACAATCATGAGGACGACTGATAAATATCCTGCAGACATTCTCCAAAAAGTCACATAAGAATCACTACCAGGTGAGCTTTATCCTATTCAGTACATGGAAAGTTGAGTGGAAGGAAAAAGGCCGATAGAAAAGAGGATTCATACGATACAGGAGTTTCACTTTTCTTTCTGAATGAATTACTGAAATAAAATCAATTCTTGATGATGTTCCAACTTGCGTATCTTTTTTAAAATTTGGTTTGGGCTGCTAGATAAAAGTCACGAGACACGTTACGGTGGCCATCTTTGCTGACACCTCTGCAAATGTTTTTTATTGTAGCATTTTCCGCTACATTTGAACCAACAAGGTCGAATAGTAAAATTGTTTTACAGTCTGATGTGTGTTGAGAGTCTTTTTTCAGATGAACTAGTTTCTAGCGGTCTGTGAGTCACTGTTCAATTTTGTTGTTTTTTTCTCAGAATAAAATTTATTTTCTCTGAAAAGCGTTGCTCTTATTACTTTTTTTTCTTTTTTTAAACAACAACATCTATTTATGCAGGGAAATAGAAATGAATGCTTTTTAGCAGCTGTGGGCTGCAGATGACAGTGAAAGATTGATTTTACTGCTATATCAGAAAATTCAAACCACAGGAAGTGAATTTAAAGCCAGCAGCTGGTATGTCTGGTTTTACAGCGTCATCATGTGTGGTGGGAGAGCATCAGTGTTAACATGTTAAATTATTATTTAAAAAAAAAATTAAAACATAAGCATCCGCTGCACTTTGCTGTGAAATATGTTTGTGATAAGTCTTACATACAGTCTGTATCATAACTTAGAAACTACTGGAAATATGTCATCATCACCATATTAGTTTAATAACTATTAAACATATCTGTTATGTAGCTGTCACATTCAGTTGTGTTTAATAAATTAGAATATGCTTTCTGATCATGTTTCTCAAATTAGAAGTACATTAAAAAAAAAGTCACAAACAAGTATGAAACCTAGTCCATGTTTCCGTTTTAAAATGTTGATGTCTTTTTGGTCTGATGTAAAATTCTAATCTTAAACCATGTGTTTTCATAAATACATGCTTAAAAAAAGCTATTTGTTACTGAAATAAGTCAACTTTTTCAATAATCCTCCATTGAATATGACTGTGTATTGAAATCTGCCAGATTCCGGCTCTGTTCTTGATGACGAACGGTTTGACATTTTCAAATGTTACAGGCTATGAAATAACTATGCAGCTGCCTGCTACTCTGTCAGCGTCGTAGAGAGCTGTCTGTACAGACTGTAAAAATCTCAGGTCGCACCTGAGATAAATGTAATTGTGTTTCCTGTTAAAATGAATAACTTTTTAATACATACACTCACATTTCTGCGTATTTTGAGCCATGAACTGGGAACTTGCAGAGACGTAGCTGCCTCTGGGATTTTCTGGACCCCAGTCTGCCTTTTTATTGGCCTAACCTCACAATAGTTTTCTGTTTTTGGCACAGAGGCATTGATCCCTTGGGGATGCTATTTCTGCATCAGACAATGGTACAATTAACTTTCTGGCCATCTCTGGGATCTTGGCTCTGCCTCCTGGTAACACACACAGATTTGGTTTTACATTTCACAGAAATTCATCTTCCTTTCTATTTGTGAGAAATTGTATTTAATCCACGTTCTTGTGTAATAAGGCTTCAGTTTAGTTGGACCATCATTACTTGGCAAACATGCATTAGCATAGCAACTCAACACATTTCAGTCAATGTATAAAGAAACACATCTAGCACAAGAACTTGCCAAATAAAAAAAAGCATTTTTTTTATACCATGGCATGTCACAGGAATTTGAATAAACTTAAAAAGAGTATATTTTTCTTTTAAGAAAAACAGCATAAAGAAAAAAACCAAAAACAGACAACTACCAAGAAAACAGAAAACACCCCAGATGAGAAAAAAAAGGGGAACAAACAATAAGAAACGAATATCTGGGAAAGTACAAAGAATTACTTGATGTGGGAGTCGATCATAAAAGACCAACGGACAGAAATTAGGTAAAAAAAAATGAAAAAAAGGTTAGAACAGTATCAGCTGAAAGTCGTTTACACTGTCCATACCTGCTTATCCATGCAGGGCTGTGGAGGGACTCAACAGGTCGCAAGTCCCTCACATGGATTCAGAGACACACAGGACAACAACGATCACTCCTAAGGGGAGATATTTAGAAAAACTATTGGCAACATTTTATTTGAAGGGGTGAGCATAAGACTGACATGACACTGTCATAAACATGACATAACACCTGTCATGAACATAAAGAAGTCTTTATGAAGGTTTATGAGAGTTGTCATGAAGTGTCATTTGGTAAATAATGACATTTTTAATGCAAAGTTGCTCTAAATTAAAAGTCCATTAAAAGTGCCAGTTTTGCATGATTTTGTAAATTATGATAATTCAATGCAAAGACTGTGGAAATAGATCATGCCTGACCAGTTTTTGCGTCAAGCAAGCAAACTGCATGATGCAACAAAGAATTTCAGCTTAGCTAAACAAATTGTGTACTTTAATTGAGGTTGATTTTTTTT